AATATCCAAAAAACAAACTATTAATATGTAAAATTGGTGAAGAACAAAGATAGCAAAATGCATCATCAAAAGTAGTAGCTAAAAAAATTTAAGTCTTGGCCCAGTATTTTTCAGAATTAAACTTATTGCTTGATTTTTTAAAATATTATTCTTTATATCAAATATATTATAATAACCTTGTTGCTAGAAATACCTTAATTAATAAATTAGAAGCTGACAATCAAATTTCTCTAAACCCAAAAAAAAATGATAAATCATGTAATTTTTGTAATTTTGAGGTTCAAGTATTTCTACCTGATCCTGAATATAATAAGCTTTTAAAAAAAATTAATGAATTAAAAAATATTAACAGGCAGTTATTAACCAAAAATGAATTATTAAAAAACAAATTAAAAGAAAGATTTAATAGTTAACAAGATCATATTGAAGCAATAATTGAAATTGCCAAAAAGAGAGAAGTAATTTATATGATGATATAACCAATTTGATGGAAGATCATAATCGATTTCATTTAGATAGTCTTTTAAATTATTCTCTTTCTCAATGGCTTAGTAAACAAAACCTGGTAGTTGTAAAATTCATAGAATTTCTTACTCTTAATGAAAATAAAAATCAACTCACAGGCGAAAAATTATTTAAGTGTGCTGTGGCAATTGATGTAATTTATAGAATGTGACATCTAAAATATGTATCAGCAATAAACTTAGCTGCATTAGCAATTAAATATTCTGTGGCAAGGTCTAGATCGATCGATAACATTGATAACCATTTTATAAGCACAGGTAGTTTTACTAAGTTCATCAAGTGGCAAGAAAATTTAGCAAGTAAACCTCAACTTTTTCCAAATAGGTTAATTGTTATAGTATTTGATAATAAGCAAAAAAGCCAAAAAAACTATTTAGACCGTGGCCATAATACTGTTATTTACAATACAGTTATCAATTTCATTTTATTTAATTTTGATCCTACTAACCAAGTACAAAACATCAAAAATCCCTGGCTACATGAAAATCTTACTACTATGCAAATTGAGCAATTATTTGATATCACTCCAGAAATGCAAATATTAATTGATCAGAGACTTCACGATTATCTTTTTACTATTTTAACCGAAGCATCTATTGAAAAAAGCGAAAATACAAATATTATTAATGATTTAATAGCGAATCAAAAAATAAAAATCGATAAAAAAAATGGTATTGTAAATGTGTAAAGATAATATTAATAATTTTAAATGTAAATACCCTTAATGTAATACAAAGCTTCTTACAATCACTGAAATTCAACAAGAAATTGACCAAACGATATCTAAAAAAAAAGATATAGCCAAGCCCTTGGTTTTTAAATTTTACCATCCCGAAGTGAATATTTCTGAAAATTCTACAAATTTAATTAATACACTTAGTATAATCCAAATATCTAAACCTCAAAATAATGTTAATTTATCTGATATTCTTGTTTTGGATTCTTTACCAATAAACCCAAATTCTATTGCTAACATTCAAAAAGTTCTAGATTATATTAAAAAAATTAGCAAAATTAAAAAGGTGAACGAAAATGGATTGCAGTAGTTTGTGATAGAATTTCTTACTATTATGCACAAAAGTTCAAAAATAACTATCCAAAAATTCTTTTAATACCCGGTTCACTTCATGAGGAAATGAACATGTTGAAAGCTTTTGTAGAATTAAATTGGTATAACATTATTATCCAAAAAAGGTTCTACCACAAAATCCCGATGTTCAAAATCTCGACAGGCTATAATACTAACATTATGCAGTATGACAATTAAAAATTTAAAGCTTACAATGATTGTTAACATGATTACTAATCTTTAAATCTTTAATTGTTACGTTAGGATTATGGTTTCGAGATTTTGGATGTTGGAATTTTGTGGTAGAACCATTCAAAATTGATTAAAATGAATATAATTATATAATATAATAAAATCTAGGGCTATTGATCTATGATATTTCGCACAATATCAAGGATACAGAACTGAAAATCAGTTGAGCTATTTTAAAAAATGTATTGATCATCACAAAGTATAGGATTCGGTTTGCAATATTTATCAATATTTGGTGGCTATAGAACTAGTTTGGCTCTACGTTAATTTAAATCCTAATCCGACTATTAATAGATATCTTAACTAGGCTAAAAATCAAAAAGATGAATTATATAAATTAAAATACGAACAAGTAATAACTTATAAATATAAATATTTAGAAAGTTTTAATTAATACTTAAACTTTTTTTTTTAGATATTTTTGTATTTACAGGCCATAATAAACTTCTGTGATGATGTTAGATTTAATTAACCTTTACTTAAATCAGCAGCTTGCAGGATATTTGCCCCAATATAGTCTGCCAGAAGACATCCTATTTATCAAGAAATCGAAATAGCTGATAAGGAACAACTAATACGCCTTTATCCTAAAATTTGAAAACTAATTGAATTAAATTCAGCTATATCATGATCAGAGTGGTCAAATCAACATCA